TTTTCTAGAGAACAAAAGCTCCAGAATAACAAAAACAGATTAAAAAAAAAAAAAAAAAAAAGCAGAGAAGACGTCAGCCTCCAACAGAGTACGCTTCACGCGACAGTATTTTACGAGAATGAGGGTAGAGGTTATGAGAAGGGAAGGGAGAGAGAGAGAGACAGAGGCAAAGAATCTCTAAAAGTCGTGCATACTAGATTGATCTATTCCAGCCTTCGGGGGCGGCGGACCATACATGCACGTCAACAGCTGTTGCATATTATATCGAGGCTGTTACCTTATTCCCAATGAATGAGCAGAGACAGATGTTGCATTACAAATAATGTTAGTGTTGATTTGCATGTTGCTTGAGGAATGTGCACACAGCGGACAGGGGGCTCTCACTACTGTGCAGCTGTCACCGCTGCTGAGAAAATAAAAGCGCACTTAGTGGCACACAAAGTTCCACTCACCTTTAGTTTGATGGCGCCTTTGTCTAAAAGGAGAAAGAGTGAGATTTAAAGTAAGATTTTTTCCCCCCACAGGCTCTGCCATACACACTCGATTAGACCACTGACTGCACCTCAGATTTAAGTGCAAATAGATAGAGGAATAAATTGACTTTGAATGGGTTTTGTTGGGTTACAACCACTCTTTTAGAGGTTTCTATTAACGATGTGCTTGATGATCAAGTCCCTGAGACTCAACACATTAATAAGCTATTCGCTAAAATGGGAAAAACTGGATTTCTGTAGTTAAAGGATGTGCAAAGTTTTTGAAACCAAACCCAATGAAACAATTCGTCCAGATTTTGATATTGTCTCATCTTGATTATTGCCCAACATTACGTGGCACAAAGAAGTAGATTAAGAAGTAGCAAGTGGTAGAAAACAGAGCAGCACATGCTGTCCTTTGTTGTGTGTACAGAACAAACATTGTAACAATGCACAAACGCCTCAGCTGGTTAACTGTGAAACATGGATTCGTTTATTCTTTTCTTGTATTGAACTGGGATGCTTTTGTTACAAACACTCCAATGATTTTGTTTGAAAATGAATGACAAATTATTCTACCAAACACGCCACAGAGAGATTTTATAACTCACAGCAAGAACCAGTTCAATCAGTAGAGCAATTTTCTATTGGTCTGTTATGGAATAGAATTCATTGCCAATGTAGCAGAACTAGTGTGCACGTACGAATAGTATGTCATCAGTGCCTAGCTTGATGCGGAACACCATTTGTGTTGTGAGGAGCTGTTTGATTGTTTGCATGTGTGGTTCGTTTTGTTTTTGTTAAGATGCTGTACGGCTTTGAGTAATCAGTTACAGTCAAAGTGTAGAGATCTGTGACCCCAGGAAGAATAGCTGCTGTGCTGCTACAGCTAATAGGGATCTTAATAAACCAAGCTAAACTAAACCTCAGTTTCTCACAGATCTGTAAAGTGATCAATAAAATGCATGCTTCTAACATGCTTTAACTGTAAGCGCTGTGGTTAAGTCAGTTCAGTTGCTGTTCCAGCTGCAGCCTGTCTCCTCTAAGCAGAGTCAGCACCATCTATCTATGCTGTCAAACAAATCACACAGTGTGTACATTAAGTGGCCGATGAGCTGGACTGAACTGATGCCTGCAGTCACAGATAATCTATATAAAAGCCAAAGCTTGTCTTGTAGCAGAGGCTCACACCGTCTGTGTGTGTGTGTTCTTTAATCTATGTGTATATTTTGCCTGCCTGCATCCTTTGAAAACAGTGACATAAAGGGGGTATCTTTTAGCTTGCCTAACTTGTCGGTGCATGCTTTGTTTCCAAACGTAACCCACTGTGCCAGTGTAACTTTAGCTTAAAGAATTTGTTCTCACCGAGCACTGAGCCATGGCTGTGGGCAACCGTCTGTCCCTTCACCGACAGCTGCACCTGGACGCGGGTTTCTGCTTTCGCGTTAAAGATGGTTACGCTCACGCTCTCCTCGACGCCTGCTCGAAAGACAGAGGGTGCAGCGACCAAGTAACCCCTGAGAGAAGAGCAGGAGGGCAGAGAGAGGGAAAGGTGAGAGTTTAAAGGAAGGAGGGAGCAAGGGGGTAAAGTGAGGTGAGATGACAGTAGGGGGAGAATACAGGTGATGGCAAGGGAGGCAAAAGGAGATTGGAGACCAGGTGTAAATACACATTTTTTTCTGTCTCGCTTCATCTTTTTCACTTCTTTTTCACGCACAAGGTTAACTGCAGTTTTCACCAGGGATGCAGTGCCTGACGACCACTGAGCTTGTTGCTTTAATGTTTTCTTTGGGTGGTCCGGCACCCTCTGACAGAACCTCGACATCTGTTTGGAAAAATAGTGGCTGAGATTCCTCACAGTCACTCTGACATTTAATTGAGGGAAGGGGACCTGTCACTGAGGTCACAGAGCAAAGGTCATTCTTTGATGCTTATTAAGAGTCTAGCTAGGGTGTGTGTGTGTGTGTGGGGGGGTTTCAATTTAAGTTTTATTTTGAAAGAACATGCCTTCTGGCACAAAGGGGCTACTTCTCTCAGGTAACAAAGGTAGAATAATAGGTGCTCTTGTTAGCATGCTCCAGTATGACTCAATCACCAGAGTGTGTGGAGCAAGTTCACTGAAGTGTCCACCAAATGTTGAGCTGTGTTTGAGACTCAGTCAGTTTAATTATTTTTGACCATGTGATGACCGAGGCTGATACAGCAACGCAAGTGTAAATATCTTTCTGTTAGTCTAACTCATTGCTTGCTCACCCCAGCCTTGCAGCTTTTTTCGACTGGGCCAACTCACCCCTTAACAACTTAACTGAAGATCACACAAATTAGAGGTGAGCAAATCCTTGAGCACAAGCCCAGTTGCATGCATGAGAGAAGGATCAGGTGGTTGGCATTACAGCACAACGGCATTACAGCTAGAGGCAACTGCAGTTCCTGAGAGAGAGAAAAAGTCATGAGAAAATCCCCTGGAAAATAAGGCTTTCGGGAGAATGAGGATAATAAGAGGAAATTGACTCTGTGCGTTTGATCTACAGTGAGTTTAACCAGCTCTTGGATGAGCTGGGATCAGGTGGTGGAGACCGTGCTTATTTCAGTCACATGGCTCCATTTACTCAAGTTCTAATTGTTTTTGCTCAACTTTTGTCCTGTGGGAGTTAAGAGCCTGCTCTCATGTGTAGGTGAAGCTTTTAAGAGTCACATGGTTTCATGTTTTGCTCATTGCTTAAACTTCTAAGCTAACTTGTTTAAAGCTTCACAAAAAGATCTGCTTTAGCTTGAGTTTGATAGTAACCCCTCCTCTCTTCCTGGAAGAATTGCTGCAACCATCGGCGTAACTTTGTGCTGATCTCTGTCTAAATAAATAAATCTGGGTAAATTCCCAGATGATTAGACATGCAACTATTTTGCTGGTAATACCTGAAATGAGTAAAGAAAATCAACATCCTATTTATGCAAGATAATTCATAATTTTATTGGGGGGAGGAGGGGGGGGGTATATGGTTGGGTCTATTATTGGGGGGGGGGGGGGGGGGGGGGGTCATAACCCCCCTAACCCCCCTGGAAATTACGCCCCTGGCTACAACTAGTTGGTCTGTTATCTCCCAAGGTCACAATTAACCCCTCAAGCACCTGACTGATAGAATCGGTCCTGGGTCTGGGTTAAACAAAACAACAATGAAAGACACACAGGAGTGCATCTATTCATATTTGGCAAGTTATGGGCTATCATTGACCTAATGCATCACTCTGTGTGACAACCTCACAGGTTAGTAACACAATTAATGAAAGTATGACAACAATACATTAGTGGCAGTGTGGTTGGGACAGTAATAACATTAAATTGTGGCTTATTCACAAAAAGGTTTTAATCTGACTGATCCGTACAATGAAATGCACTCAGTTTAAATAAAACTATTTTTAAAGATAATTTTTAAAAGTTTTTCAATGAACAATCACAGTCTATCCATACTTAAAGCACCGGGAAATGCTTGTAGTAGAGCACACAGCAGCTCAAAGACACCACATGTAACACAGGCTACTTACTGTCTTTCTTGTGCAGAACTTGTGCTCACGGTGCAGATGTACAAAATCCCCGAAAGCCTCAAAGCTGTCAGAGACAACCGTAACATTTTGGCTCCAGAGCCCAGGATACTTCAGGATACAGTCTTTACCGTCTGAATGAGACTGGCTCTGAAAGCCCTGATTAAATGTTAAATGAAATTTAATCCCAGCCCTCACGGTCTATCTATTTATCCATTGAGATCGGTAGGAGAGAAAGGTGTGCAGAGCTCCGTTGAGAACCAAAGATCAACTTAATGAATTCATCTGTCTTCGCCAAATCCAGGTCCAAGCAAATCGTGCCTTTTTTTTTTCGTCTTTTAGAGCCCGGAGTATACGAGCAGTCCTCACCCATGTGCCTTCACCCGCCCCGGCTTCGCTCTCTCATATTTCAGCATTACAATTTGTAAGTGTCCTCCCACTTCAGCGCGGAGAAATGTCACCGTTACGATTTGTTTGACATCTAAAATCCGCGCAGCTCTCGCTGTCCCGGTTGATCCTGGTGATCTCAAGTCGGATGGTCTTTTTTTCCGCTCCTACAGCATCGCGTTGAGAGGCTTGAGACGGCGCTTCTTTCGCTTTGATACCTTCTCTTCTCTGCAGAGAGCATGAATGAGACCAGCTTAAGAAACAGTAGCAACGTGTCCTTTTAGCCACTAAAAACTATCTGCACGTTTTTAGCTCAGCCAAAAAGTCAGAATATCTCAAATCTGCAGCTACTCTGTTTTGTTATGAAACATAACAGAAATGCCAAGCGGTGTGAATGACACAATTCAATTACTGAAGGCATGATTATAACAGTTTTACTCACTTAAATTTGCACTTTTGGAGTTCATTGATGCCCTGATAAGATATCTGCTGCCCTCTAGTGGCACTTAGGTTTAGATGCAGTCGTGAAGTCTACATACACTCATGAATGTCATGGTTATTTTGGGCTTTTATTTACTTTTTCGAACTGCTGTTTGTCCAGGGTGGAATGATTGTACAGTATACATGTTTTTAGTAAAGTTCATTTAAATTGGTTTCCTGGTAAGGCGTTTAAGCGTATCCTAGCTTCCAGAAGCTTAACGTTAGCCTTCTTTATTCATTTTCAAATAAGTTTTGATGTGTTCGGGATCATTGTCCTGTTGGATCACCCAGCTGTGTTCACGCTTCAACCGTTTAACTGTTGATTTTTGTGGTAAGGTTGAAGAATTTGGAGGTAGTCACGCTTCTTCATTATTCCGTCCACTGTGCAATGCACCACTACCACTGGCACCAAAACAGGCTCGTCCATGTTGGCAGCTGCAAATTTCAGTTGGACTGGAAGGTGTCAATTTCGGAGCAGGGCCTTTTGGTCACACACTCTCAGTCCATGTTGATGTAAAGCCCACTTCACTGTATACAGTGATGCTGGATAACCAGCAGTTTTCAGTTCATGGCAGGCTTGAGCTTTTGTGGTTCCTGAACGTCGTAATCAAGTTCCTCTCATCTGAGGGTGAACATCTGGGTGACAGTGAATAACTGAATAACTAGTACTTGCGTACAATTGCTTGAACTGGTGATCTTAGAATGTAGTTGTTTAGAAATGACCCCAAGATACTATCCCAGATCTACAATTCTCCTTCTTAGATCTACACCAAGTTCCTTGGACTTTTAACATTGTGCCGACTACTGGTCAGTCCAACGAGTGCTGACAAATCCTTTTGTTTTTTAAACTGGCAAAGAAACTACCAGTTTCAGTTGATGATGATCACCATAAGTTAATAAGTCTTGTCAAGGTAGAAGACACTGTAGAACCTTCAGCACCACTTACTAACAAATGAAGTGAGTGCACGAGCCTGTGTGGATTACAGAAAATCCTAAATAAATTCATTTTGTTTTTAAAGAAAAAGCCTTTAAAGATGTACACTTTACAGTCATTCCAGCCATTAAAGAAAGAAATCATTAAAAGCTCAAAATTACCACGACAATCAAATCCATGATGTATGTAAACTTCTGACCACCATTGTATTTCGACTGTAACCAAATTTATTGAAATGATTCCAAAATTTGAATTTATAAGAATGAGTAAACAGTTACACCTTTGAATTTCTGTACAGTTCTTGTAAAAAAATACTCAAGGGAAACATCAACACAAAATATTGGTAGTAATATAAAAGTAATTCACATCTTAATGTAACTCGTGGCCATCAGCTCAGTGACAGTCCAGATTTCTTAAAAAACAAACAAACAGTCAATTTCCTAATTTATAAGAATACCGAGCGGTATTTGTATGGCTTGTTTACTTCTTATTTGTCTCAACACAGCTCTGAACAATATTCTTAACAGTGAGATCTCTCTGTTTCTCAGATGCTATGCTGTGATACAGTTTACAGTGCAGTGTTCCTTGTCCCGGCTCCGTGAAAGCAGCTTTGGAGAATACTACTTGATTGTCCTTGTTAACCTCAACTCCACATGACCGGCACAGTTGAGCTGTAAGTGATGCGTCTAAGAACAAGAGCTTAGCCAGTCTGTCAAGAGGAAAGCGACAGTTGCGGCTGCTGTATCCGTGGCTGTATATGAGCAGCAGATCTTGACGACATGTCATCAGGTGACTGTGCAGCGCGCAGGTCTGTAGGAAGTTTAGCTTTTGAGCCAACCGAAGCAAACGGACAGGGTTTCTCTCAAGGAAAGCTTGGTTGATGAAAAGAGCAAGTTTGATGTTTGGAGTGCTGCGCAGTCGCAATGGGAGTTGCATGGTGTGCTGCATAGCGCGAGCTGAACCTGTAAGAGAAAATAAAGCATACAAAATTAATTGCTTTCTGGAGGACATGGAGAAGTTCTTAATTTTTAAAAACATTCCCTGCATCAAAAATCTGTTTGCACAACAATGAACTAATGCATGCATGACTTCCAGCTTGAACATGCATACAAATACACCAAAATAGCAGATGATAAACAAAGTCACCAACCCAAGTTGTACAGCAAACTGAGCGACTGGAACTCTTCTTGGTTGGGATGAGGTCCTGTTTTGGTCATGTAGCAATCCAGCAACCAGCTGAGGTATTCCTGCAGGTGTATATCATTGATACGTGGGTCGTAGAGCCGCAGCGGCTCCCCACAAAGACGATAAGAGGCATAGATGAGGAAACGAACGGTTCGCTCTAAAATGACCACGCAGTCCAATCCTGACATCCTCTGGATGATCATGTCCTGCTTCACAGCACGAAGACGGTCAAAGACAAAGGTATAAACCTGCGCGACAACAAATAAGTAAACAACAAATTAGTCATCTTTAATCTACGATGATAGATTCTGTTTTGCTATTTTTCCATCAGATATTTTCACATATTTTAAAATGAACAGACAGTGAAACATTTGTCGTTCCCTGCAAGGCTTGATTTAGACTTCTGCTGGAGAGAGGCTATAACATAACCTACGTAGGTGGCTAATGTCGTTGCTGGCATTTATGCTTGTGCTGGTGTATTATGTTTTAATTACCATGTTGTAATGTCCCTGGGTTGTACAGCGAGCTGTGACCCGCCTCTTTGTTGTGGTTAGTTATTTTCGGGGGCAAATATATTTGTATCCTTAAATTTTTCCACTTCTTTGTACATTTGCTCACATTCATTCTGATAGTTTCACCAATATCCCTTCAGGAAATTTGCTGACATTTGTGAGTGTTTATATCGATGTCATGATTATTTGTTCAAGAGAAAGCGATTGTTATTCTTTCACTGATAAATTCAAAAACTGCAGCAAAAAAGTAGCTGTAGCAATAGTAATGCACAGGGGGAAGTGACCATATTGAAAGAGTCACTCACAGCAAGTAGCCTATGTCGACCCAACGATTAGTTACAACGTAGCAACGCTGTAGATTTCCCGCTGAAGCATAAATCTCTTGTAAGAATCACTTGCAATACAGTTTAAATTTATATAGCAGAATAACCTACAGCAAGTTTAAGACAGGAAGGTTCAAGAATTGGGATTATGACAACAACAAAAATTAAAGTTTTACAACTGCACTTTTTGTCAAAGCACCGTTAGGTTCTTGGTAAAATAAAGAACTGGCTTCTGCACGTGCATGTTGTTTTGAAGATGGTAACGCACACTTCTGCACAATAAATAAATGGGCCCTAAATTTAAATTTAGGGCCCATTTAGCTGTCTTTAGCTGTCTTTAAATAATAACAAAAGTTTAATTTCTAAGTCACCAATTCAGTTATTAAACATGAATCATTTCCTGATATTATGTACCATAAACAATGAAATGATTTTTGGTGAGAAATGTTACTTCAGAAAGACTCTTGTGAATGCAGTATTTTACACATTTTACAGCCTTTCTTCCCTTTTCCAACATTTTTAAAATCTGTTGCCATCATCCAGTTTTAAAATATTGAAAAAAGGTTGGACTTATTTACTGTTACACAAAGTCCCAAGCTTTTGTGGAAATCAACAATTTGAACGATCGGTGTAAATATTACGTACCTCAGTCCATGGATACAGGCTCGGGGCGGCTGCAATGTCATTAATAAGGTAGTTAACAGTTTTCAGCAGCACAGGAGGTGGTCTGAGGTCACTGGGTTTAGTTGAGTCCTTCCCAGCTGCTGGTCTGGAATACTCCTTAACGGCACGCGATGGGTCTCCTTTTGGCCGCCGATCTTTCTCTGTGCCTGGTAACATTTCAAAATGGTGAAGTCGGTTCTGAGCCTCACGATCCCGTAACTCCTGAGCGGGGCACATCGTTTGGCAGGTCCCTTTTGGCACCGTGTCCTCTTCATGCTGTCTGGGTTTCTGCTCCTCCTCGTCCGCCTGTCTAACTTGTGCTTTCCCTTCACCTTGCCACTGCTCTTTATCCCTTTGTCTCCATTGTCCTTCTGATGGTGCACCCCTCCTCTGTGAGTGAGATCTGTTTGATTGACAGTTTAATTAGTAATTAATATTGATATTGCAAAGCAAGTATTAGAAGCACCTTTTACCTCATATTTACCTTTTTCAACAACAAGTAATCTCTACTCGTTGTCAAGCAAACTTAAATGAGCCCTGCTTTGTGCCTGAATCCGTCTGCCACGGTAAACAACAGAGGCTGCTACTTCATTTCTGTGCTGCCTCTAAAATCATGATCTTTCCCAGCATCATCTTAACATTACCGCTTATACTCGGTCTTTGAAAGCAAAGATGATATATGGATAAATGTCATCCTTGGGGATTGTGTTCCTGGAGCTTCAACTGAACTGGAGCTGACAATGGTAGTTCTACACCAGGGAACTGCTGTGAGGTAGAAGCCACTGTAGCTAGCCCCTGCAGAAGGTGGAGAACTGGCTCATCAGCTGGTCCACAAAACTCAACAATAACTGCTGAATAGAACAAGGACTATCTCTGGAGCTGAATACATTTTCTTTGCTCTTACCGCTTTCTCTGGTCTCATCTTTGCTTCCAACTTTGCCCCCAAACTGCTCAACCTGAACCGTCCCTATCTTTGCAATCCTGTGGTCATTCTCAATGGAAATCCTAGCATCTTCAGCTTAGCCTCCTGTCTTTTTGTCAGTGCCACTGTCTCCAAACCACAGATCAGGTCTCACCATCTCATAGGTCTTCCCCTTTTCTCTTGCTGCTATCTGTCACAAATGTGTCCCAAGATTTGTATCCTCCTGCTCCCTCTTCTTCTGTTCTCTTGTCTTTTGGTTTTGATGGCTGCCCCAGGTATCTAAACGTACCTACCTTCAATACCTCTACTTCTTACAACTTCGCTGTTGCGCGTGTATCCCTCTTATTCACACATGTACTCTGTCTAGCTTCTACTGACTTTTATTCCTCTCATCGCCAGAGCATACCTGCACCATACTCTCGCTAAAGAACACAATATCATCTGCAGAGATCATGGTCCATGGAGACTCCTGCCTGACCTCATCTGTCAGCCTGTCCATCACCACTGCAAACAAGGAAAATCTCAGTACTGATGCCCGCTGTACTGCACACGCCACCACCGTCTCACTATCCTCATACATGCACCAATTCAACATTTTTAAACTGCAGCATAAACGTTTTGCTAACATTTGTATTATAATGTGCATATTCGAGTTTTATCCAAGTAAATGTGCAACAAGCAACTTTTAATATAACGTTTTCATCCCAGCGCTAAAACAGGAAGCCCCAAATCTTAAAATACCTCTCTTGCTCCTTTGCAGATTCAGGGTTAGAATAACACAACGCAACAAAGGATACGGTGTCGTGCATGCAATGTGTAAAGGATAAATCACCGCATATACACATATATATATCTGCCACAGGTGTTACTGCAGCGCTGACCATCATGCTAATGTCTAACTTGGACGGCTAGCTAGCGGTCTGGACGGTTGGCTACCAAACAAAACCACATCGTTATTTCCACCCAAACATCTGTTTTTCGAAGCAAAAAACATACAACTGACATTTGGTTTATAATACAATTTTAAGAAATGCTCACTTTATGTGAAATAAATGTTTTACTCACATGCGACGGCTTCTCCTGCGATTCATTGGCTCTCAGTAAAGGGAAGGTCGTCACTTTCCACAAACTACCAATAGAAATAACCCATTGTTGTCTTGATTAACGTCACATCCGGGTGAGGATGGACTCGTTTAAGGTCGAATGTTTTATGACTTTAAAACGTAGTTTTTGATGTTTAGTTAAAATTGCAAAATAAAACAAGCACACGTAAGGGGTCGAACAAAAATTCAAACGCGTTGTTAGACTCATAAATCAAATTAGTAATTTTGCCAATTTCTGAGATATCACAAGTTTGTGATTTAGTGACAAGGTATGTTAGAGTTATTTGATCAAAGTTTCAAACTCCTCTGTATTCCTAAAGGGAAAGAGGTCCAATTTAAAATCTTGAATAAAATTTACCCGACAAATAGACTCCTTAGTGATAGATTCAAAATAGAAACGGGTAATTGTGTATTTTGTGAAACAGAAGAGGAGGATTTGGACCATCTATTCTTTTTGTGCAATTTTATACAAATATTTTGGTTGGATTTTCATACCTGGCTTTATTCCAGTGGAAGTCAAATTACCCCATTTACCTTAAATATGATAATGTTTGGAATGTTTTTGAAAGAAAAGAAAGCTAATTATGGTGTTAATGTGTTATTAATCTTGTGTAAGTATTTTATACATAAATGTCGCTTTTTTAAGATTAAACCAACACTGGCTCACTGGAAAAACGACTTAAACCTGTTGGTTAAATCTTTGACTTTAGTTAAAAAGAAAAAGGCTGCTTTTTTTGTTTCCTTTGTGGAAGATTTTGATTTAGTGAGTTAATAATCTGTTAATTTATGTGACCCCATCTTTATATTTTATTTTCACTATATATGAAAGTTGCTAATATGTAAGAAATGTTTATTCTCTGAATCTGGAATATATGGTGCATTTTGTTTGTATGTTTATATTACTAATAAAAAAAAAAAGTAACAAGGAAAAAAAACCCAAAAAAAAAAACAAAAAAAAAAAAAAAACTCCTCTGTATTCAGCAACCTTGGTTAGGATATTATGGATTCTTAGTGCAATGCGATTTTTCATAGTCTGCAAAATCTAAATTCTTTCTTGTATTTATTGGTCACATCTATAAAGAAGCAATTAGTCCACATTTACAACATTACAACACAACCACAAAGAAAATCACAAATGTACACCTACACAGTACACACAAAAACAGACAAAACCTGTGAATATATAGAAATCATAAAACATGTGGAGTTGGAGCATATCCAAAGTGCTTGTTCTGTGTATCCCATGCTGAATGCGATCCTTCAGTGTTTGGGGCAGTAGAGCTCTCTGGATCTTGAACTGCCCAGCTGCTCCTCCTCTGTGCTCTGCTGCACATAGATTCTTTGACGACAGACCAGTGATGACAGTTCCAGCTGCTCCTTAAAGGCCCTGGGAGGGGAAAAAAAATAAAAATAAAAATAAAAGTGATTGTTTTTAAAAGGTTTTGATAAAGCTGCCATACCCACACTGTTACACAACCTGTGAAGGAACAAAACAATCATAACCTAACACAGCAAAACACAACATTCTTTATACATGCGCCTACCCGGACAGCTGCTGACTGATGTCCTTTGATGTTACTTTTATGTCTCGAAGGCACTCCAGAGATGTGCTGTTGTCCTTATAATCACCCTCTGTGCACTCCAACAGCAATTTCTCACTCTCCTTTAAGGATGCCACAGCTTTATCTGAAAGGGTTCAATTTAAATTTATTTAAAAAAAAAAAAGAGATCAGAAAACAATAATTTTCTCCAAGCTACATAACACATGACTTTTGTTGTAACAAAAGCCCATGGTGGTTGTACAGTTTTAAATGGATCATGTAATCACTCGTGTAATCACTCATGTAAATGCCTGAAAAATATATTTCTAAATATATAATTAGACTTAAAACAAGGCTCTTACCATAGCCTTACAGTATACCACTATCCTGTAAAATCCAAGCAACAGAGCCCAAGCAAAACTTGATTCATGGAAGAATTTTATTTTATTTATTTTTTAAATGCAGTTCTTTAAGTCTTTTTTATTTTTCCAGTCAGAGCACCCCCTGCTGGGCACTTTGTTATTAAACCACAGCTAAATCACCCCAAGTATATTTTTAAATTAGTGTGTATCCTCCTCCTGTCAACAGTTTGACATAGAAAGGATTTCTCCATGTAGCTTTTAAATTTCACCAACATAAGTAGTAGATCAAAACATTTATATGGAGGCTTAATGGAGTCTGCATCAGTGCAATTTTGTGTTTTTTTTTTTGTTTGTGTTTTTAAAATCGTACTTATGAGTTTAACGTAAAAATTACCTAGAAATTCACGTCTATCTCCATCAATGTAGAAGTTCTTAACAGGCAGCTCATGTCGGGTGGTGTCAACAGCTGTAGCAAAAGACTTGTAGTCCTTTGTAAACTGACCAACAGCCTCTGCCACAGGAGTCAGTGTAGCAACCTGAGGGACAATAATTATAGAACATGAATCAATTATACGCTTTGTGTGTCCACCATTTTTCATTTCGAAAACATGTTTTGACCAGACATTAATAGAATCCAGCTTGATTCAAAAGAGTGTACAAAAGAACCAAAGTTTGCTACCTAAGTGTATTTTCGCATTAGTTAACCCAAAATTCAAATGGACATTAAATATACTAGTGCGTCACCAAAAACTAGACTCATAATAAAAAAAAACCCAAAAAAACAATTGTAACTTAATTCAAAAAAGTAAAGGTTTAATATAGTTTATATTCAGTATGTTTAAAGTGAAATATTTCAAGCCTTTTTTGTTTTAATTTTGATGATTTTGGTTAACAGCTGCCACATGAGGAAAACTGATGACAGTTGTCCAGTGCTATTCAGGGGCTGCATCCTTCGGAAGCCGCATTTGAAGGCCGATTACCTCACAGCCAGGTGATGAAGGCTGTCCCAACTCGAAGGCTCCAAATGCAGCCGAAAAATTAGTCCTTCATTTCCCCGAATTTGAAGGATGGGCCGGGTGTATCCGTCGTGGCCCAACCTATCCCAGAATTCAATGACGGCAGCTACTTGGTTGTAAGATTTTTCTTCTTACTCTTTTCAAATACAAACAAATCTGAAGGCTAGACCATCCCATTTCACAGCCTCACACTTCTCGGTCTTTGAAGGAGCTGGCCCACGTAGACCGCAAAGGCCCGATCCTCCAAAGGATGCAGCCCCTGAATTGGGACACAGCTCAGGTGACAATGATCGACACCCTCTAGAGGACAGCAAAGGCTGAATGCTCACAGAGTGCTGTACTAAAGCATATTAATAGGAAGTCAACAAATAGGACCTCTCCAAAAGTTGATTCTGTTCATCTGGACGTAGCGTTTTGTGGGAGAAACGTTTCGTCACTCATCCAAGTGACTTCTTCAGTCTCAGCTGACTGCAGGTTTCCCCAATCTTTCCTATTTGTTATCTTATCAACAAATAGGAAAAAAAATGTGGTAGGAAAAGCTGCACAGCCCTCAGAGGATTGTCAAGAAAAGTTGATTCAAGGACATGTGAGAGATTCACAAGGAGTGAATGAAGGCCAGTGTCACAGAATCCAGGTCCAGATCACTGTATTTTTCATGTCCAAAATCAACACAGACATCTACCAGCAGATTTTAGAGAACCATGCTTCATCTGCTTACAAGTGTTGTAAGCAGTGCCACAACAGAACACACAACAGTATTAATTAAAACGCATGTTAAAAAAGGAAAACACCATTTATTATTCCAGACCTGCAAATCCAGCAGTTCATTCACCAGCCGTTTCTTTTCTGCAAGGAGGTACTGACGTTTCTTCTCCTTGACCTCATCATGCAATGACTGCTCTTCCTCCATTGCTTGCAGAATCTTTGTTTCTGCCTCAGCCTTGAGTTTTGCTGTATTGCTCTCCATCTTAAGTAAAAAATTGTAAGCATAATATCTCTCGATGTAGAAGTCACCAAAATAATAAAATAGATGACTATGTTTTTACTTAGCATCTTACTGTACACTAACTGAACTATTATCAGATCTATTACATCAACTAACCTTAGCTGTGAGGTAGGCCAGAAGAAATGTTTCCATCTCAACCATCATCTTTTCATTCTCTGGATTTCTTTCAGGTTCTACTGCATTTTCAATGACTGTTCGATCTTGGGAGATAGAACAAAAAACAAAGTTACAGGACAGTCCAAACCATAAAAAATTTTCAGCATTTTTATTCAGTTTACCTTTGATAACCGAAATATCTAAATCTGGTCGAAAGCGGGGATTATCTGAGAATGTGGACTGCAGAACACTTTTCCCAAGAAGTGATGCTTCATTTTCACGTGACATCATTGCTAAAAAGGAAGAAAAATGAGAATGTGTTATTTACAGCTATCATTTAGACCAGCGGTCCCTAACCCCCGGGTCTCGGACCGGTACCGGTACGCGAGTCGTTTGGTACCAGGCCGCGAGAGTTGAGGCTCAGGTGTGAAATGTATAGTTTTCAGGGTTTTTATTGGTTTTCAGCGTTATTTTGTTAGCGTTTTTATCGTTAACTCCGTTTTCCTGGGTCTTTTCACATGTGTTATGAATAAATCTTTTTTTCGGTACTGGTACTAGTTTTATTTTGTTGCATTTATCCGCGACACCTTAAAGGCCGGTCCGTGAAAATATTGTCGGGCATAAACCGGTCCGTGGCGCAAAAAAGGTTGGGGACCGCTGATTTAGACCATAGACGCTTACTCAGATGCTGTGTTTTTTGCATTACTAAAGATATTAACTGAAAACAATTCAACTAGAATCAATCTAAATAGCTGACTGTATCCATTTTTCAGTTGATAATATTTTTTCAGAACACATAATTTCCATTGTCCCTTTTTTTTTTTTTTTAATATATACAAGCAGAGCACATCCATATCCAGGAACAGTGGATTTGGAAAGCCGCTGAACTGAAAAGAGGCATAAAACTACATTCCATCAAGTCTCAAACTGATGGAATGTAGTTGGAAAGTTTTATCTAAGAAGAGCCAAAGTGAGGGATTTTCTCACTTCTCTCTTTTTAAATTTTTATTTTATTTTTATGTGTATCCAATTTCTCTCCAGAAGGCTAGATCGCAT